ATCTGTTTACTCGGTAACCTTGATAATGACCTTCATGCCGGCACCGGACTTGGCCACCTTGTACGCCTCCAGGCAGTCCTTAAAGTCAAAACGGTGACTGGCGAGCGCCTTTAGATTGAGCTTTCCCGAGGCGGCCATCGCCACCGCCGTAGGAAAGCAGTCCTTGTAGCGGAACGCCCCCAGAATTGTCACCTCGCGGATGGCAGCATCGGCAATTGGCAGGCTGACATTAGGCGGGCCCAGGCCCACTTGAATGGCCACACCACCTGATTTGGTGGCCAGCAGCACCAGACGAGAGCAGCTGGGCGCTCCCGAGCACTCCAGACTGATGTCAGGCTGCTCGCCATCACCGAAAGCCTCCTTCACCTTAGCCACCAGCTCCTCCTCGCTCAGCTCCTTGGTGACGAGAATGGTTTGGTCGGCGCCCAGCTCCCTTGCCAGCTTCAGCCGCTCCTCGTTGATGTCCGTGAGGACGACCCGCGTGGCGCCGTACGCCCGCGCGGCCATCAGCGTGTAGATGCCAATCGGCCCGGCGCCGGTGATGAGCACCCGTGAGCCGACCGTCACGCCCGACCGCTTGCAGGAGTGCACGGCCACGGAGAGTGGCTCAATCATGGCGGCCTCCTCGTTGTCGACGCTGTCGGGCACCTTGAAGGCGTAGGCGGCTCGGTGGAGAAAGTACTTGACCAGCGTTCCGTGGTAAGGCGGCGTCGCGTGGCAGGCAATATCCGGACAGAGGTTGTAGACGCCGGAGCGGCAGTAGGAGCAGCGCTCGCATGGCACCGCCGGCTCGGTGGCCACTCGGTCGCCCACCTTGAGGTGTTTCACCTCACAGCCGACGGCCTCCACCACCGCCGACGTCTCATGGCCGAGGATCATCGGCTCACGGACGATGAAGGTGCCACACTGCCCGGTGGCCCAGTAGTGGACGTCAGAGCCGCAGATGCCGACGTTCAGGGTGCGCAGGAGGACGTCTGATAAGGAGAAAAAAGAAAAAGGTTTGGGTTAGTTAAAAGTTTAAAAAGTTTACAAGGTTTTCTTACCATGAGGACCAGGAGCGGGCGGCATGGGCACCTGTTCGATGCTGGCGTCATTGGCACC